ATAACGCTAAAAACAAAACCTTTTTTATAGCTAGAATCAAATTCATGACTATAAAAGTTATGATTTTAACATTTCACATGAACAATACTGTTTACTTTGATCACGTTTACCTTTTACTGCCATATTTCTTTTCGTTATTGTGTTTGCCTATATCCTTAATTATACATCATTTTTCTTTTTTGTTTGCTTGCTTTGCTTTCTTGCTTGCTTGTCATTTACTTTCGTTGCTTGCTTGTACTTCTTTGTTTACTTGCTTATTATTGTTTGCTTTTGCTTCCTTCTTGCTTATTTATTGTGCTTTATTGCTTGCTTATTTGTGCTTCCTTTATTGATTCCTTGTCATGCTTCTTTCGTTGCCATTATTCTTTCATTTCTAGCCCAGTTATAAAAATTATAGAAGGTAGGTAGTATTGTTATCATTCAAAGAATGCTGTGTAAAAAGTTAGATTTACTATTTCTAATTTTTTTTTTAAAACATTTAGATACAAGTTCTCCTGAATCTACAAACGGTTCTTCAGTTAATATTGAAACTACAAATAGCTTAGGCTTGGAATTAATACCTTCTTATACAGAATTATTTTTAATTAGCCAAATGATAAACATGATTTTCAACCTTCAGAAATTGAGCCAAATGATGAACAAGATCTTCAACCTTCAGAAATTGAGCCAAATGATAAACAGAATCTTCAATCTTCAGAAATTGAGCCAAACAATAAACAGAATCAACTTTCAGTAGATGATTCCTATGTGTCGTTGGATGAAACTGAAGCACGCCTCAATCGTTATGCTAAAGCCGCAGGTTTTTCATTACGTTGAAAGAGAGTAGCAGTTGATAAAAATGGTGAAGTTAGATGATGTAGCTTTGAATGTACACATACTGGTAAAGCTATTAGCAACAAGGTTATTGACCTTTCTCAACAATGCAATCGAAACTCAAGTAAAATTTCATGTTCTTGGCACGTAAATCTATCAAAACAAAGTCTTCTAAGGTTGTTGCTATTACAAGTATAGAGGTGAAGCATGATCATCAAATGCAACCAGACGTATCTTTATATGCTCCAAGATATAGAAAGTTGTCTTCAGAAATTCTAGACTTGATAGAATTTTATGTTACAAAAGGGAATATGGGATCTAAACAAATCTTACCACTTTTGACAGCAAAATTTCCTGATTATATTATTCATAAAACTGATCTTTATAATACAGTTAAAAAGTTTTGAAAAGTGCCTAGTTAACATCATGGAAAGCGCAGATAATAATTTTAACAAAATTTTAACAATGTGTATTTTTATGATTTTAATAATAAGTATATGCTCATTTCTTAAACCTACTTCCCCCAGCATTTTATAGATTATTTGTTGCAGTTAAAAAGCCAAGATTCAGGTTGGATTGTTAATATTAGAATGGATCCATATGATAACAGGCTGGCGGGAATCTTTTGGATGTCTCTAATGCAGCAACAATATCTGATTCGTTATATTGATATTGTTCAGACTGACAATACATGTAAAACAAATTGGTTTGACATATAACTCACACTTTTAATAGTAATTGACAATAACACAAAGACCCAGCTAGTATATCAAGCGTTGTCTAATGATAAAACCACTAAAGCATATAAATAGTTTCTTGAATGTATCAAAAATGCAGCACATAATACATCTCCAGCAGTTTTATTTTTGGACGCTGAACCGCACTAAGTAGTGCCATTTCTTCAAGACTATCTACAACACATCATTTCCTATATATTTTTCACATTCAGGAAAATATTCGCAAAAATTTACGAAGCAAACTTGGGAAACAATTTGATGATTTTTACAACGAATTTTTACATGCACGAAATAGTATGTTTGAAGAAGATTTTCATAGGTGGTAGTTACGTTTATTAAACAAATATCCTTAAACAAATAATTATTTTAATCGAGCGTTACAAGGATGTGTTAAATCGTAGGCCTGATATTATCAGTTAAAGCATTTTACTGCAGGAGTTCAGAGTACTTAACGTGTTGAGGTAATAAACAGACTGATTAAAGAAAGTGTAAAAAGTACTACTTCATTGCGTGACCTTCATAAACATATACAAAATCTATTAGATAATGAGGCTAGGTAGTCATGACATAATAACTATTTAAATTCCCTTTCTATCAATCAAGTGCCAACAGTTGCTAAGTCAATATTTCCAAAGGATTACGATGAGGGTTTTCTGGAGGATCAAATCGATAGACCTCAAATTTCTATTATGTCTTTTATAAAGGATATTGACATAAATGACGTTGTAGAAATCTGGGAACTTATGAATTTATCAGCGGTTTACAAGCACTACGTAATCTTGTTAAGTGATGGTAGACATTTATGTACTTGCATATCCATTATTAACTGTGGCATTATATGCGTCCACTTTTTTCAAGTAATGATAAACACCAAAAGGCAAAGTTTCATATTGGATTGGTTCCAAGATGTTGGTACCAAGACGATTACCAAGACAAAGAATTGAAGGTTTTACAGCAGCAATATATTGAAATTTCAACTATATTTCAGCAAAATACTTCAGATATAATTGTTTCGGATCTTTATATCATAGAACAAATTTGAGGTGCTAATTTGTATGATGCAAAGCATAAGCAATTGGTTAGCAAAAAAGTCATATATGCTAACAGATTTGGAAAATTGAAAAAGGCACTTAATCTTGTACTGGATCTTGGGTGTGTGGAAGAATTAATGAATATGGTTACTCAGTTTATTGATCAGAAAAAATCTACGCACGAAATCTCAACAATGAAAGTTTTCAACATAAACAGAAAGTCATAGTGGATCCTTTAGTTACAAAGCATTGTGGACGTTCACCAACTAAATGATTAAAAGGATCTTCTGAAAATCTAAACTACAGAGGACTGGCACATAATCATAAGATTGATCCTCAAGATTCTAATCTTAGAATACCTTTCTCAAATATTAATCCAGATAGTAATAATGTTTCAGACAACAATACTGAAGAATTATGCCAAGAAAATAAAAGAAGATATGTATGCAATGTATGTGGTAGGATGGGTCATAATGCACGCACATGTAAACAGCAAGATAAGGTCATAGTACATTCTCCATAATGAAATATATAGTAAGAATAATGTTACATATAGTACACATCAATATTAACAGCAAGTAGAATTCATAACACATTTGCAGTTAATGATACAGTATATATGATTCTGAACTACATAGCAATTTTTAAATTGAATTTATTTTCGGAATAAGCAGTGAAATGTTAAAATCATAACTTTTATAGTCATGAATTTGATTCTAGCTATAAAAAAGGTTTTGTTTTTAGCGTTAT